AGTGCTACTGTTAATATGCACAATCATTAGATAAAGCATGACAGGACGTGGCGACATGTTCTGTAATGACGTGGTGAAGCTCCAAAATTGTTTTAATATAACTTAGTCAACCTTTATATATCCGACAACTGATAGCTTTTCGGGAATCGTAAGTGTTGAACAATTCTTGCAAACGAATAGTTAGGCTTTTGTCTTCAAGCCGTTGTGAACAAAATCAGAATCTTTAATTTCACAGTTATTAGGTAGAGCTGTTATTATTATTAATTTCTGATAAAAGCAAGCTACCTACATAGACCAAAACTAAAAATTAGCTTAGTAATGAACATAGTTGTGTATTGAGAAATGTGATTTATACAAACGCTGTATAATTAATAAAAAAGAATCTATAAACCATTTCAAATAATCGACACATTATTTTGGCACATCTGGGATAAAATATAGCTATTGGAAATGACCAGCTAGATGAATTGCACATTTCATAACCTTCGAATGTCAATTAGCTGTGGTCTCAAGATCTCTTTGTGCTGCTTGCTTTTTTCCTACCATTTCACAACTCCTGGACTGCAGAGAAACATCCAAGAAGGCTATAATGTTTAATATGTGTTACTTGCTTCATTTATACAAAATTACACCAAAACCTGTATTCTGTGGTTCAAATGAAAAATGCTGTCCCACCATCTTTAAACTTCAAGTATACTTTCTGTACGGTTTGTGTTTCGCAGTTTTTGGTGTTTATTAAAACATCGATGACAGTGAATATTTGAGAAATTCAATAAAAACCTTCCATTAACGTTCCTGATGAGCGAAGGAACATTTCATTTAACTGTAATTCTTGAAGAATGCTCAGATGACTCAAAAGTACATTCACTGTATTATTTTGATGGTTACGGTATCAGACAGGTTCAGAAAAGAATAACTTGCAATAGGAGCATTATATTCTTTCTTAAGTCTGAAATCTGGTGTTGAACGACGTTCTATGATCTGTTGAAGATCATATAAAAACGTCTTTGATTTAAGAAACTTTGTTTATTGTTAAGCACAATGCTACGCAATGGACTATCTTTGCTTTGTTCAACGGAGGTATCGAAACCCGGATTTTAACGTCATAAACATCAAGCTTACTGCTTTGCCATCGGAGGGCATTTACGCAAGTAACAATGTGGAAGAAATACAGTCCTCTTAGAAACTAGTAAATAAATTAGGTCATAAAGGTTTTTTGGACGTTTTTAGCGCAAAGCTACATAATGGGCTATCTGCGCTCTGTCCATGGCAGGGAATCGAGCCCCGGATTTTACTTTGTAATTACATAAATTTACCGCTGACTCACAGAGAGACTCGTAAAAGTTACTCTGCTTTTTTGCCATGATGTAACTAAAGCTCTGTTAGCCAAACTCTTTCTGTTGAGAATAAGAATATTATATGAATGTTTTCAAAAAAATTGTGTAATAATAAAATGAAATAAAAATAGCTATTTCTCTCCAATAAAACCAAAAAAACGAAAGTATAGGAATGAGATACTCTCGATAACTGAATTAGATAATATTTGTGATTTCGGTAGATGCAGGTATTTTAGTAATAACTACATGTGTTTCAAGCATAGTTGTGTTAATGTTATGTGTAATATTTTATTTATTTGGCTCATAAGTTTCAGTTTTATTACTATATAGTTATGTATTTTCAGGAAGGCGGAGTGACTTCATCATATTGTACTTAGATAAACAAGCAACGAAAAACGTTAATAACGTGTTGATAGAATTCAATTTCAAATAGTTTGGAAGTGACTGTATTTATTTATTTGTACTGAAATTATATGAAAGTTTACTACACTTAACATCTGACAGCTTTAACTATGTGAAGCTCATTCATTGTTAAAAGTCAATACAATCTAATGAGGCTTATACAACGTCTATAGCAAAAAGTGTTTACAATTTATGGTAACGATACAAGGATGAGAGTGTTTACGCCATTTTGAAATATTGTATCAAAAGCCGGACGATAAGAAATGATCCAGACTTTACTTCAGTCATTTCTGTAGACATATGCTTCGTTCACTAGTCACAGC